CGAAGTCTACTATACACTCGCTGGAACAATCAGCGATACAGCCTTCGGGTTATCAGGCTATGACGGTGGAGACAACTTCACTGCAAAGCACCAGAGTACAACTCCCGACTCTGCTTGGTCGTTCTCAGAACTCCACGTACTCTCGAGACTCTTCACACTACAACTCGCGATGCACTCGACGACACACAGAGCACAGCTCCCAACTCTTCGGTTCAGTCGTTCCCGGAGCTCAACACACTCTCTCGAAGATGCACTAACTGCGATACACTACGAGACTCTTTCGGTGCACTCGAAGACCCACTCGGCACTCGCTGCCCGGCTGTCAACTCGATCGACTCCGTACGGACTAACTCCAGACACACTGTCTTGCACTCTAGACGAGGCACTCACATTGACTGCGGACCAGGAGGGTTAATATAGCTTTCGGCTTGTGTTCGAGAACATTCTGGGCTAAATTGGTAAGAATTCGTTCCAGAAGGCTCTCCATCCGTACATGGCATATCAGCAATTTTGCCATCAAATGGGCGATTTCTCGCCAAATGTGGCAATCCTGCCTTGCTTTGCTATTTTATGGCAGCCCCAAATCTGCTTTGAGGAGAAGCTATCTTACCGCGCGTGGACATTTCGTAACAATATATTAATTTACTTAATGTCGTGTTTTTTCCTTTTTAAAATTATTTTTAATATTATGATTAATCCATAATTCATTTAATGTATTTCACAATTTGTAATGTATTTGTTCATCTCTACATCTGTACTTGAGTCTATACCATGTCCTTAATATATCTGTATGCCTAACATGTACTATATTAGTGAAAATTGTCCCTTGTTTAGAGTGGCCAATTCGCGGAGGACACAGCACTAAACTCTAAATGTAATCAATTCCAGGAGGACGCAGCACTATGATCTAGACGTAATCAAATTCCCGGAGGACACAGTACTAAGTTCTTTATTTATACTTATTTATTTATTTGTTTTTAATTCCATCAACGGGATACAACAGGCTGAAAAGCACCTAACCCAGAGGACCAGCTGTTCCGTCGACGGCGAAAAGAAAGGTTGGTTCACTGGCCAAAGTGCCTGTTTCTTACTTAACTTCAGATTGGAAAAAGTCGTATACAAATGCGGAAAATTGATTAAGTCTTGCTTACTACCAACCCATGAAGACATTTTGAACAAAGAGGCTGTCCAGAAATTGAAAATAATTTCTAGGAAAGCTAGCGCTAAGGACCATAGAACTAAACATATAACCCAAAGTTATTGAGAGTGGTTGAAATGTTGAAACATTTAGCATGATAATTCAACAGATATAACGATCACATTTTCTAAGGACTGCTTGCTCAACTTCCGGATAGAACAACTAGCACTCTGGTTTTTGGTGCACTTAATGATTATTTTCTCGGTGATGGTATTCAGTGGAAGAAATGTGTATGGAAGTATAAAAACGGTGTCGCAAACAAGACTGGTTATCGTTCGGGTTTGTTGTAAAAGTGAAAATTGTTGGCCACTTATTATTTTTACTCATTATATTATACAAGGCGAAAAGACTGTCTTCAAAACTTCCGAACTTTTCTTTAATGTAATTAAAATCAAAAGTGAAATTCGATGCAAAACGTTCAGTTGTTCATTATTTTACGCATTTTGTGATAAATGGGCTTTCACCTTTATCTTCACATAGAGATGAAATATTCCAAAGATAAAGCCAACATTCCAAAAGATAAAGGCTTCCAATTCCAACATTTTTGTCTTCGCCAGGAAGTCAAATTATTCTTCTAGCAGCAAAATATTTTGAAATCTCAAAATTTCTTCCCCGATGATGAACGCCTAACCAAACTTGCATACTTGACAATGGCGTTCCCGCTGTTTAATGAGCTAAAGACTTCCTTGCAAAGTCATCTTACGGGCATGTTTAGAGTTTTAGGTAAAAGAGGTTCATTTCAAAGAAAACATAACTGTGACAAATGCGATTACCTGAAGAAGAATGCGATTACCTGAAGAAGATATCTAAATGTTTCCGAAGATAAAAATATTAACCATCAAATAATGACAATTGTTTAACAGCATTTATCTTCTGTGATATAATCGATCTATCATCCGACAACAGTTTCAGAGCTAAATACCGTTTTTGCCCTTGTCAAGATATCATTTCTAGATCTCCGTATAAAATGAATACCTAGCTTTATGTGCAAATTGTCATGTAACTTTTGATTGAATTTCTAATAACTTATTTGTATGAAATGGCATACTCATTTGTCAAGGTAATAAAAAACATTTCTGCTACTATCAGCTTGGAATACAAATAGCTGTCTGTGCTGCAGTGAACTCGATGGAGCCGAGAAGCCACAAATTTATTTCAAGTAAATTTATGGATTTTCAGCTGCAATGACACATCAGTCGCATTGAAAATTTTGTTACAACTAGACATTTTAATAATTATGTTCTGAATAAAAATGTATTTTATTTTATATTAATATTTAGAACTTACGAGGAAATTACCATGTACGTATGTGTATTTATAGCTTTTATTTACTTATTTATTGGTTCGTGGAATTCAAGATCGTGAGTGTAGACATCCCGCCTAACCTAAACTATTGGCGTTTGGAAGGTTTTGTGGTTATGTTTCCATCTGTTTTTTTCCTTTATTTCTTCACCTCGGCTTTATGGCCTATGCAGGTTTTCACGGTTTTTGATGGAATTACTTCATAGTTTATTATTCTTACGTGGAATTACTTAATACGAGTAGTTTAGTACCAAGCTCTTTTCCCTGTACGTCATTGTAACCACGGATGTTTCAACGAGTCAAGGTATGTTGCAAATAAAATTGTAAACCACTTTCTGTTGAAATGTCACGGAAACCATTTCCCCAGAATCTCCCACATGCCGTGAAGTTTATTGTTATAATTTTGCAAAATAAGTGGTCTCTTACCATTTTCATTTAGTATCAACCGCTGTTTCGGTACTCCAATATATAACCATGGAAGTTTTAACGAATCAGTGTATGTTGCAAGTAAATTTGTAAACTACGTTGTGTCCAGAAGTGTCACGAGAGGCATTTCTCCAGAACCACCGACATGCCATAAAGTTTATTATAATATTCGCAAAATAAGTAGTCTCTTACGAGTTATATCTAGTATCAAGCGCTACTGGCTATTCTCTAGTATAACCATGGATGTTTTAACGAATCAGTGTATGTTGCAAGTAAATTTGTAAACTACGTTGTGTCCAGAAGTGTCACGAGAGGCATTTCTCCAGAACCTCCGACATGCCATAAAGTTTATTATAATATTCGCAAAATAAATAGTCTCTTACGAGTTATATCTAGTATCAAGCGCTACTGGCTATTATTCTCTAGTATAACCATGGATGTTTTAACGAATCAGTGTATGTTGCAAGTAAATTTGTAAACTACGTTGTGTCCAGAGTGTCACGAGAGGCATTTCTCCAGAACCTCCGACATGCCATAAAGTTTATTATAATATTCGCAAAATAAATAGTCTCTTACGAGTTATATCTAGTATCAAGCGCTACTGGCTGTTATTCTCTAGTATAACCATGGATGTTTTAACGAATCAGTGTATGTTGCAAGTAAATTTGTAAACTACGTTGTGTCCAGAAGTGTCACGAGAGGCATTTCTCCAGAACCTCCGACATGCCATAAAGTTTATTATAATATTCGCAAAATAAATAGTCTCTTACGAGTTATATCTAGTATCAAGCGCTACTGGCTATTCTCTAGTATAACCATGGATGTTTTAACGAATCAGTGTATGTTGCAAGTAAATTTGTAAACTACGTTGTGTCCAGAAGTGTCACGAGAGGCATTTCTCCAGAACCTCCGACATGCCATAAAGTTTATTATAATATTCTCAAAATAAATAGTCTCTTACGAGTTATATCTAGTATCAAGCGCTACTGGCTATTCTCTAGTATAACCATGGATGTTTTAACGAATCAGTGTATGTTGCAAGTAAATTTGTAAACTACGTTGTGTCCAGAAGTGTCAAGAGAGGCATTTCTCCAGAACCTCCGACATGCCATAAAGTTTATTATAATATTCGCAAAATAAATAGTCTCTTACGAGTTATATCTAGTATCAAGCGCTACTGGCTGTTATTCTCTAGTATAACCATGGATGTTTTAACGAATCAGTGTAGGTTTGCAAGTAAATTTGTAAACTACGTTGTGTCCAGAAGTGTCACGAGAGGCATTTCTCCAGAACCTCCTACATGCCATAAAGTTTATTAATATTCGCAAATAAATAGTCTCTTACGAGTTATATCTAGTATCAAAGCGCTACTGGCTATTCTCTAGTATAACCATGGATGTTTTAACGAATCAGTGTATGTTGCAAGTAAATTTGTAAACTACGTTGTGTCCAGAGTCACGAGAGGCATTTCTCCCAGAACCTCCGACATGCCATAAAGTTTATTATAATTTCGCAAAATAAATAGTCTCTTACGAGTTATATCTAGTATCAAGCGCTACTGGCTATTCTCTAGTATACCATGGATGTTTTAACGAATCAGTGTATGTTGCAAGTAAATTTGTAAACTACGTTGTGTCCAGAAGTGTCACGAGAGGCCATTTCCCAGAACCTCCGACATGCATAAGTTTATTATAATATTCGCAAAATAAATAGTCTCTTACGAGTTATATCTAGTATCAAGCGCTATTGGCTATTCTCTAGTATAACCATGGATGTTTCAACGAAACAATGTAGGCGGCAAATAAATTTGCAAACCACTTTCTGTGCAAAGTTGTCATGAACATTTTACCAGAAACTCCCATATGCAATGAAGTTTATTACTATAATATTCTTAAAATGTATGGTTTCTTACCTTTAAGTTTCCGTAGTATAATTTGGCAAGAAAAAAAATTAATTTCAATACGAATTCCTTGTCTTTTAATTATTTAACCTTAAATAAATGTCAATATAGTTGAATAATAAGTAACTATTGTCATAATTAAATCAATATTAAAACATAAAAAAAACCAGGGAATCAATATTTTCAACATTTTATTTAAACTCAAATTATTTATAGATTCAGTCGCTATATATTATAACAATGCAAAGAAGCTGGCTTTAGTTACAACGAAAAATCAATTACAATGAATTATTTTAAAGTGTTTTCTGTAAAATATATAATTGCAACTTGAATCTTAGAATAAAAATATTGGCAGAACATCCCTACCAAATCCGACACTGAGTTTGCGGACGTGCGCACCCAAAATCTTCGGCAAATTCTGGAATGCTAACCACGCCTGCTGTCGCTCTGAAAAAAAAAATCATACATATTATTTTAGGGATAAAATACATTTTCCTTTGTAACGTCGCTATCACGAAATGTACGCGACATTGAAGATTGTTTAGTGAATTAACACTAAGTCCTTTAAAGTATTACAAAGTCAAGAGAAGGATGTTTAGAACCTTTTACTAACAAAAACGTTAACAGTCGGCAACAACTAATGCTTACAGAAGCCAACCCTTTTGGCTTAAATCAAAAGGTAATGCATAACCTAAAAATTTATGAAGTATAGCCTAACTGCTTCACCGTTTAACTATCGCGCAAGCTGGCTCTGACTCCAAGTCGGCGTAAACAAGCATAATAGCAAGAATAACTCAACGCTGCAGAATTCTAATCCCTAGAGAATCAAAGTTAGCAACGTGACCTTCAATCAGGTAGAACACGCTCCGATTTCACCCTCCAAAAACCTCCCATTAAATGCATCCTTCCTTCCACCTAATCTGAATACCTCGCGTGCTGGAATACTGCTCTCTGACATAGAAATGAAATGAGCTTTGGTAGGACAGGTATTTTAACTTAAAATAACTGGTTTGAAAATTAAATGATACTTTATATCTGTAGAGACATTAGGTTAATTGTAAAAGCCGGAAAGATGAAAAATTAGCAGCCGCCTTTGCCGGGAATCAAACTGCGGATATCTGGAATAAGCGCCCAACGTGCAGATTACCACACCACGAAGACACGCAAAGAAGGTGGGAGAAAAACCTTATATATCTTATTATTTAATAAAAAACTCACGAAATTGGTGTAACATAAAGGTATTTTAATTGCTTAATGCAGAATATTAATTACATTGTAAAATCGCCTTTTTATTTAATAATAATCTGAAAACAGGAAATGCACAGTTTAATACTTAAAAATATTCCTTTAATAAATCTTAAAATTTTTTTCGTATTTACATTGCATGCTTTTTTGCAATCTTAGGTATAAGAAAGTAAAATTTTAAAGTGTTATTAGAGTGTTATAAAATTAAAATAAAGATTTTCTATTGGAAGGAGAAGATCATTATGGTTGGGTGTTTGGTATTCTATGGCAGCACACTGGGCTATCTGCCTAAGAGGGAGATGCCTTCGTGGAGGACTTTTTAAGAGAAACTGGCTCGTATACACGTTACACATGGGGAAAACCACGAAAACACCCATGCAGCCAGCCCGTAAGAAGTCATTATGCAGTGTGTACTTTATGAATTAGCAAAGATGATTCTCGTGTAAATAAAAAATGTATTTATATAAAATCTAAAACTAATTTGAAATCCAATCCTTGAGTTGAAATCAGCCAAATCTAATTATTTAATTTCCATTTCCCCATCAAATCCTTAGAAAACGAGTAATTATAAAACGTCACATCATCCATCAAGTAATGATTTGGTCGAGTGATTCCATACATAATTAAAATAAGGACTTCAGTGACACAGAAACAAAATGGACAGAATACCAAAACTACTGCAACCCAAAAGGATCTGCACACTACATTGGATACCAGCGCATGTTGATATTTACGGAAATGAGCAGGCTGATGGCCTCGTCAAAGACGCCCAAAATAGTTCTCAACTTCCCAACAGCTTAATCCTTACCGATGCTGACGGAATAGTCAGCCGAAGACTTCTTCTTGATTGATTGAGAGCCGAAGACCTCTCAATCAATCAAGAAGAATTCCGTTCCTACACTAAATTGTAACCGTGTGATTTCCACTACCATAGCCAGACTGAGGGCAAAACACTTGAAAGGAATGAAGATATCCACTGATGGTCAACGAAATTATAAAAGTTCTCATCACTGTATTAATACTGAACTTTCTCCAAACCATCTCTTCGACTGTCCTGCTATTTTGGCCAAGCTATTCGGTATTGATACAACTCCCTCGCACCAACTCCTCTATTTTTCGAAAATTCTTGATGTTGCTGCAACTGTTCTGGATTTTTTTGGCCCTATTTAACACCTCTGCACTAACGCCTTGGACAAGACAACAACAACAACCTGCCTTTTATTCTATTAAGGGTCAGATATACCCTTAAAGAAGACCTGATGTGCACTATTGCAAATCTAGTGAGCGATGCTCCTTTGAGATTACCATTAGAAATCCTTGAAACACCACAAATCGACATACAGGCTTTTAAATTTCTGCGAGCCCTTCGACAAATAATGGACTTTTTCAAATTTGCTCCCGCGTGTTTACATTCCAAATGGCAGAGTTGTGCATCTTTCACTGAATGACTGTACACCCACATTCGTGCGGTGTACAGTATCTTTACCGTTACGGTAAATGTACAGTATCTTTACAGTATAGGGTACTTAAAATACACGATGAGCCAAAAGTCAATTCGAGTAGTTTGATGGTAAGGGAAAGAGGTATGGGGCACCCTTGGACCCGTCCGTTGGATGGGGAGGAACTGAAAAAAGTTGGGCTTATCTTTGGAATATGGTAACAGGTAGTTTGGCGACGTTTTGGTAAGGCGATAAAGGTTACTAGCTAGGACTTCAGCAGTGTACATGGATATAGTAAAGAGTGTGCGCATGCATTTTTGGCACTTCTGGGATTTTTTTTAATGAAAGTCGACGTGTAATGGATATACCGTGTGTGTGCAATCGTAAAAACGCGGCAAGCAGTGGGAAAACGCACTTTGTCCCATTTCGCACCTACTCGTCATGATTGAGCACTTTTGTTCCATAAAATTAGCATAAGCGTAATTCGGCTAGCAGATTGTTTGAAAAAAGTGTTGAGTTAAAAAAAAAGCCTTTACTTCGTGAAAACAAAATGGCGTCCAACAAAAACTAGCAGGTTGCTGTAGCAGGGTTGTCGCCAAATTTTTGCCAAAAAATCGCCGAGTTACCATAATCCACGATTACCAAGTTGTACTATCACATAACCGCAATTCTCGTTCCTGTCACAATAAATTCGGAGCTTTTTTAATTATTATCAAGGAATAAGAAAGTCCAATTCTTCTCGGGATATATTAAATTTCTCATTAGTCGGGTATTTAAATGAATGGTGCGGTTTTAAAAATTAATAATAAATCGATGTATTACTTTACATGGACTAACTTTATACCATAAGCAGCAGCAATTGTCCAAGTTTTTGATGTATTAAATCACAATCCTTCAATATGTGCACCCTTGGTCATACGACAAAAATCTACACGATAATTAAATTCTTCCCATACTCGGTTTAGCATGTCAGTCTGCAGTACATGCTTTAACCGACTACAAACTTCCGCAAGTGACACGGGCATCGGTGGTACATAAACTCGGTCTTTACTAAACCCCCAAAGAAGGAAATCGCATGGAGTTAAACCTGCGAACAGGGTGGCCAGCGGAGAAGGTAGTTGTGTGTTGTTGCAGCACGTCCATTCCAGGGTTGGTGAAGAACACAATTAAAAAGCTGTGGTACATTCCTGTGAAAATGAGGCGGAGCATCATCCAGTTGCAAAATGTAATCATCATAATTGCATTCAGCTTGGGTAACAACCAGGTTTCCAACATGTGTAGAAATGAGTCACCAATCACAGTTTCTTGTTCGAAATAAAATGGGCCGTGCACTTTCTCGCGGAACACTGCACAGAAAATGTGCACGAAAAATGCACTGATCTGGACACCTCAAAACGGAACACAAAGAGAGCCTTTTCATGTTGTGTCTCCATTTTGGAAACTGACTATGCGGTTGCGTAAGTAAGCATATAAGGTATTTCTATAGCCTTCCTAGCATGCCTTCGTGGTGTGGTAGTCTGCACGCTGGGCGCGTACTCCAGAGGTCCGCGATTCGATTCCCGGTGAAGGTAGTAAACAGCAGATAGTACATGAGAAACTTGGATAGTTGTTAATGCTTAGGGTGTAGGTTTTACAGCGGTAAGATTAATACAGCGATTTATTCTTAATTTTTAAAAACACACTTTTCATTTATTATCACCCTGTATTTATGCGAAATGCTAGATATTAACACACACTTTTTCTTAGAAATACACCGTGTTATTTAAAATAAAAACATCACTATTTCACTTACTTATAGCAATTCGGATACGTCGTAACGGGAGCGTTCTGTATGGTATAGAACCGTTCTGCTCTCTCGCACCACATCTGAAATGTTAATTATTATAATGCTTTAAAAATGAGAATATGGGTGCTAGAAAATGAGGAAATATCAGAAAACCTGTTAGCTTCGCTGTCCATTGATTATTGAAGTATATTATTTTTCAGTTAGATTATTATATGAAATGAAAACTGAATATTTTTAACAGCATTCAAATCGAATGTTTTAAAAGGGCATAATGATGAAAGAAATGTTGTGATGTTGTTGGTTAGGGTCTGCATTATTCAAATCGCAAGTTAAAAACTGATTAACCAATAGAAGAAAGGGTTCTCCCAGTACAGTCAATATCACTTCCTATTACATTTAATGAAGCAATATTGTATACAAAGTGGCGTAAATGTGGCACAGCCAAAACTTTTTCCACTTTCCTAAATATACACAATAAAAAATATAAAATATAGAAACTTCAGAAAAGAAGATAAATGGAAGCTCTATATCTATTTCTGAAATAAAATTATCCCGAAAGTGCTTTAAAAAACTCCAAAAAGGACATTTTATTTGTTGTTTCTTAGAAAATCGCCAGTGCATTCTAGAAGTTAGTCCAGTTACACTTCTGTAGACAGTATATTACGATTCATTAAATATAAGGTATTCAATTGCAAGTCGTAGGCGCTTCTTAGCAGATTCACATAACACGTACTACTCACAGCAGGTAATAGTCTTAAAGTATTTGGAACTGCCTTCTAGAGAATTTATTTAAGGATGAAGTGCAAAAGTTCAAAGCGATCGTATATCCTCTTCGTCTTCCCGAGCAGTAACAGAACTCCCTTAATGAGGAATTCAGCCTTATGTCAATATGATCATAATTTACAGCTTTTACTCAAATGTTTTGATGTACACTATCGATGCTTTTCAACGAAAGAAAGAATAGCAAGCAAATGAAACTATTGAAATTTCTTTCTGATTTCTAAGAATACGCTGTCATGTGTAAAGAAAATGTTTTCCATGATTCAGTTTCGTATGACAGTGCACTAGGGAGGAAGGGCTCTCATACCTAGCCTTAGGATGCCTTTAGACTGTTAAAGTGCCTCAAGCTCTGGAGGTGATCAAAGGAGGCATATCCCCAAGGTCAATCCAGGGGGACAAAATTGCACGCAATCTTGGAAAAAGCAACACAAGTCAATGGCGACCGGCATACAGTCACCAACAAAAAGAACACAGATATATATCCCCAGTGTTGACCAAAGGGAGCCGAACCCACAAGGACAGCCTTCGATATTTCACCAGAAGTAACCTCCCCACAACCAGAGGGAAGACAACACAGTCTCCTTTTCTAGTCAGCAACTGGTAAGAGACATGGAAAATTATGGATCATATTAAAGTGGTAGAGAATAATTGTCCATAACAATTTAGTTTGGGTGCTACTGTGAAGTTTTTTGGAATTTTTAGAGCAAGGATTGCAAGAAAGCTCCACAGATGTTCCTCTTGCTAGTTTGATCTACTGTTGCTGACATTACAAGAGCATTCCACAGGCAATGCTATATCTCCTTATATCTAACAATTTTGTTCCCAACACTTTTATTTTAAGAGCACGTTTTGTTCTTTTGTCTTTAACAATTTGCAGAACATACTATTATCAATCAAGCTTTCACAGCTACCTTCTTTAGCAGCACTAGAAAATCTGCAGTAAGTGGCGTTATACCAAGTAAATAAAATACTGTTTGGCAAAACCATGGTATATTTATTCTTACAATCAAAAAGTGCACATACCTATTTCTAAGCAACGGCATGTATATCGCAGTGCATGCATCGAAATTAGAGTGTATTTCATTATGTCGAAGTATTTTAAGCAGCTGATTATTAGCAATATATTGCAGATTCTGACTGTGCCACAAAACAACTACATAATAATTTTCAAATTACGACGTGTCTTAATAAAAGGTGGCTATTAATAATAAAACTCTTGTTTTTTCAGGTTTTCATTATTGCAATTACAAATGAGAGAATTGTTTAAATAGTACAAAATGTATTTCAATTGAATTAAATGATAATGGAATTAGAAGGCGGAGAAGTTTAATGAGAAAATGGGAAGAGAAAAAGATTGTCATTCTTGTATTATACTCGATACGATAGACAGGGAATTGGGGTAAGATATAAATGTGCATTAAATTCCTATATTTAAGTCTCATATTATTTCTGTTATTAACACTATTATTATTCGAAATGTAGGAAGTACTACACTTGTTCATGACAGTTCAGTAACATTAAATATTTATTAAAAAAGAATTAGAACTGAACTCAGTACATTTGGATATCAGTGTATTTTTCAAAATCATTTATAAGATAGTGTAAATTAAAAAATTTTTCAAGATCACACTTTTATCTCTTTCCAAGAGGGATTATTTAATGACGTCCAAGCATTTTCAACCCACGCTCAAAACATTTCATAAAAAAAGCTGTAATAAATAACGTAAATAACTTAATAAAAGTATAAAACGCTGTAAAAGTATATTATCAAATAACTCTGTATATAGTAAAATACTTATTTACCTGCATACTCAGATATTCTGGATAACATTCGAGTTGAGTGTTGCTCTAGCTCATATCATTTCAAAAACCCTTTACTGATTACAAAATCCATAAACTTTTTTGGTTTAAGTCTGCTGAATTTCTTTTCTCTAGTTTTGTTTTGTTAACTGCTGGTACTGCGAACTCAGACAGACGCACAGGCAGGCCCGACTCCAACTTAGGACTATATCAGGCAGGAGATCTGCCTGTCAGGCAAATCTCGCCACCAACGAAGGCTTTTGAGATGATGCACCAACATATGAATTTCACTTTGCTGCCATCCGTCCCACAATTACTAGCGACAGACTTAATCATCTTTCAAATAAGACTCAATCATCTCATGACATAAGACATATCTCAAAATCCATAAATGGTCTGTTTGACCGGGGTCATCATTCCCGGCACCAGAGACCATCATGGTATGTATAAGCCTGAAGATGTGACTGGCCGTCAAAGTGTCCCCACTGCAGAACCGCGCTAGAAGATTTACACGGAATACAGACCTAACGGTAAGCCGTGAAGCTACTGATACCTTAGTTTGGGAACTTGAACCCCAACCCCCTTGGTCTAATCATAATGAACGATCTTCCCTCGAGGTTCGTGTTTTTGTTCCCACAAAATGCTATTTCCATAGTAAGATACAAAGTCAGTGTGTACACCCCAGAAGAACTTCTTTGTTCTGGAAAACAAAATATATTCAAAAATATTTGTTCCGCAGTCAAGACAGTATCGGAGTGTGTACGAGATCACTACTGATTTTCGATGCAAATTAAAAGAATACATAGATTTTACAACATTCGCAATAGCAGTTGCTGAAACAATCAACAGCAGTATGATCACAAATGTAGCATAATTAGTAATTTTCATTCGAGTTGTTATTGATGAATTTAAAAAATTTAAGGAATTACTGGAAATAATTCAAATCAATGGCAAAAACCTGGTGCACAGGATGTTGTGAAATAAAATTTATATCAGATAAATATAAATTAGTAAGTTGAGATAAAATGTTTTGATATGCAAGTTATAGTGCAATTGCCATGCAAAAGTATTAAATACAGTGAAAGGACAAAACTTTCAGAGTAAGGAGCGAAAAGTGATTACAGAGAAATAATTAATTATAGAGAGGTGAAATGGTTGCATGTTAAATCCTGCCTCATTATTTCAAATGAAAAATTTCAAAAACTTGCAAGGAATATAACATTATACCAAAATGTACTTGAAACAACATATAAAGACATAAAGACTGGAGTCCGATTTTTCAGCAAATTCCTTAACATTGAAAATAAGTTTGAATAACTAAAAAAAAGCTATAAATGGAACTTGTCAATTTACAGCGTGACATAAATCTAATCCAAAGATCTGACGATACAGATTTGATTAACATTTATTATTATTTTCCAAAAGATGAATATTCTCAATTATGAATTTTTACAATAATAATAAACAGTTTGTTTGGGTGTACATTAAATTTTTAGCTGCCATTACACGTAATTGACCAACTGATGAAAAAGAGGAGAAATGTCTTGCAGGTGCGAAACATTATATTTCAGATAGAAAATAACCATAAATACAAATTCTTCATTTTACGATGTAACAATTACCTCCCCCCCCCCAGTGATGAGCACAACCCATTATAGGCGTTGGCCACTATTTAGGCCGGAAGCGATGGTCACTTCATTATGGAGGCATCTAATAGATGAGCCACCGTTGCCTCCTTTGAAGGGACAGATAATTTACATCCATGCCATCTCCGGGATTCGAATCCGGGTCTTTTGGTACCGCAATCAGAGTCATTAACCACTTTCCTGTCTGGTTAATGCGATATATTTATTATTATTATTATTATTTCCAGTGGCAGATTATGAACAGTTACAGCAAAAAAACAAGAACAATGAACATACTTGTAGAATACAGCAATACAATAAAAAAGCTGTAACAGAGTTCATTAATCTAATACATCTTTTGCCTCCCAGTAACGCTCGGGAAGAGCAGTCTTGCGCAGAGCAGGACAATGGGGTAGATGTGCGCTCCAGAGCTGCACAGAGTGCATATCGGAGAAGGAACAATTTTGAATCTATGAAGAGGATATTGTAGGCAGTCATGTCCGGTGGCAAAGCGGAATTCAGCGACCGCTCTACGCTTTGGGCCATTACACAAATTCGGGATAGCATTATCAGGTTCAATGTTCCGTCTTACTTTCTTCGGGAACATGCAAGGACCTGACTCGGAACAGAGAGCTTACTAAAGCTATGTTCAATAACTGTGGGAAGTAGACAGGATACACAAGAAGGGTATACAAAATCCTTTATTTTTCTCTATTTACAATAATTTCCGTACTTCGGAATACAAAGACCCACTACTTGTGGTCTAACGTAAGAATATAAAAATATAACTAAACTCTAATTTAACTTTAAAATAATAAACGTGGAAGATTGGCCTTATATTAACAGGAAGCCGTATGTAGTACAGAGAACTGCGAACACTACAATACGTTTAAAGTTATCAAGAGGATTAAACCTCTGGCCTGGAAGGCAACCAGCAACTGAGTAAACTTCTAAGGTAAGCGGCCTCTCTCTCGCTTGGCAAAAAGCCACAACTTAAATACTTGGCGTTCGCCAGACAAACTTTGCATAAATACGTTAACGCTTATAATTCTGGCCGGAAGTAGAAAATAAGAAGTTATAGTAAAGATTTAAAATAAAATAAACGTTAGTAAAACTTAAGATCCTTACAGCATTCTTCCAAGACTTATGAGAAACACGATGATAGAGATCCTCCTGAGCACGTACTTTGAAAGATCTTTTAATAAGATCCCTAACAGTATAGAAAGGCAAAGGACGAGAAATATTTTGCATGATTAAGGAACCCGTTTTTGCTAAGAAGTCGGCTTTCTCGTTACCTGGAATCCCACAGAGGGCAGGAACCCACTGGAGGACTATAGTTTTTTCAAATGAAGCCAGCTTTTGTAGATAATATCGACAATCCAATATATAATTTGATATGGGACTTTTACCTGAAACGATAGCCAACAGAGCAACTTGGGAATCACTGAGTATAACAGCTTTTGTGAATTTTTCCAAGTGGCATGGTAGCTGATACAGAGCTGTGCCAATCGCAGCAATTTCTCTGTCAAACGCAGAACCCTCGGCCCATAGGGATGTAGAAAGAGAAATTTTTGGAGAAAACTCCGGCACCTACATTAGGGCCATCAAACAGGATGGATCCATCAGTAAAGATCCGAAGCCACTCTGGCTCAGGATAAAAAATATTTAATACTTCGAAAGCGAGGGCTCTCAAAATAGTGGGATCCGTATTACATTTCGTTACTTTTTGACCCAGGTCAAGATTAATCCAGAAAGATTTCAAATTTATTATTATTATTAAGTATGTTTTGAACAATTTTTAGTAAGGGAAATTTAAAATATAGTTAAAATACGTTTCATTTTTTAACAAAAAGAAAAAAATAAAATTTCATAACAAATTCGGCAAATCAGAAGAACGCTCATTCCACCCGTATGCAATGTTAGTTCAGACAATTGACAACAGACGATTTTTGATCTGTCCAAATTATGAGCTGATAAATCATATTTGCCGAATTTTCATTCACTCTCTTGTATTGCACAAGTACAGCAAAAGTCATAATTTTTCTAAATGGTTATGCGTGTTCCGTGATTTATTTCATACACGTTTCAGTAAAAGAATAAATTAAAATAACTAATAATTAGCCTCTTTAAGAAACGCATGAGTATTACATTTGCTGCACTGATCCAAAATAACTGCTTCGGTGTATAATCCAATCCCGGAAGTTTGAGCTCTTCTCCCATTTTACTGCTCCATTTTTTATAGCCCTAGGGAAAAAATACAGAAAAGAAATGTATTAGTTACCTTCAATATGTATATTGAATTTAAGAATAACAAGTGGCTGTAATCCAAACTTTAACATTGAAATGAAAAATGTTAAAAGATGGTCCACAGTGCCTATACACATGGTGGCGTGAAGCTGACTGATGCATTATAAAGCCTCATTGATAATATATAGAAACAGACTCGACACTGTACAATTCTATGCTCTCTTCCACAAAATTTAGGTGTCACTTTTATCGGTTCTGCCGTATTATAAGTATTTAACTAATACCTCTCTTGGATGTTAAACAGTAAGTTTAAATAACATTTTTAAGCATAAACTTGTATTTAATCGTATCACTTAGTTAAATGTCTAATTCCTTTGAGCAGAAGTTTTTACATATATTTTATTGCACTGTTTCTTATTATCGGTCTTATTTTTTTTACCTTTTTGTACACTATTACATATATGTCCCATCGGAAAAATCAATCATCATTGATTACATATTTAAACTTTAAATTACCTTTATTTTTTGTATTTGGGCCATAGTAAAAGTAACTTATAAGTTTGTATTTTCGTTTCTATTCAAACGCAGCGGTTTTCCTTAGAGGGAGGAGTTCAACTGAATCTGATCTACCCCCTCTTCATAATGTTGAAACAGATTCAATTGCATTCCTCTTCCTATGTACTTTTTCTATTTCACATCTGTAGATTTCGTTAGTTCTTCTGGTTTACTGGTAATTTGAAAATCCAGAATAAGACACTAAATGTTCTAAGGTAATCTCATTATTACCATCTAAAATGGCGACAATATTCGTAGCAAATTCAGAATGGAGAAAACACCTTTTAACCCCGCTTGGTCGGATTTGTAATTTCTGACCATAAAAAAGCACTTTTTATTGCTGAAAATTAATATACGTTCTATCCTAAATTCGATAAAGGCAAAATATTTTTGACAGTAAGGAGTCTTTAATGGACCTACGGGTGGTCAAATATGTGATATCCCGTCAACTGATCACCAGTTTTCCCTGCAGTGCACCCAAGTTTTAAATTTAAAAAAAAAAAAAAAAAAAAAAAAAAAAAAAAAAAAAAAAAAACAATGTGATATTATATTAATGGTGTATTATATTAATTAAACAATGTGATAATTAATTATTTGATGGGTTTAATATATTAGATATATACAGGGGCGTAGCTAGGGCATCTGTCCCCGGGCGCAGAATCCAAGGGGTGCCAAACTGATGTTACGAAATTTTAGAATTAAACGTTTTCCATCCTTGGCAAGCAGTAGGGGGCGCAAAATCTTCAGTTGTCCCTTGGCGCTGAAAACCCTAGCTACGACTCTGCATATGTACACAAAAATAATTATTAAAATTACGTAAAAACTGCTGTAGAAAATGGGTTTCCAATCTTACCGTTAAAACAGCTTTACAACCTGCTTGGATATCAGAGCATAAAACCACATTTATCACAAAGCCAAAATCATTTATTTAAATTTTTAAAATATTTTTGCTTACTTTATCAAAAAAATTGGCTATAAATATAAAAAATATCTTGAATGTTTATTTAGTTGAAATTCTAACAGATATCACGCCGATATTCAAGGTGGGGAATCTCACTGCGAAAATTGTAATAGTGGCGCCATCTCTTAACAATATTCAGAAATATAAATATAATCGAGAAATTTAAAGGGAAGTACGAGGAGCGACGAATACAGTTTCAATGATGGAATTTTTCACTTTCTTCGCATGGCATTCGACGCCGACCATACGGGCACAAAAACACCGAAGGTCTGAGATACGACACCGACCAAGGAGAGGTTAAATGACGTAACTTCAAAACTCGTCATTCAATACAGCTATTTTTTATTATTCCTTTCTTCAGAGTATTTCTACAAACAATCTTCAATTATATAAATAATCTTTATATGTGTATGATACAGAAATTAGTTTTGAGAGCTTTTGCTTTGTGCTTGCAACTTAAATTACTGCTTTTGATTTCTTAAGTTCAAATTTACAACTTACCTCGTAAGCTACTTTTAGACCTGAGCTGTAAGCCATATAGTCGTCTGGTGTCGCAAATAGCGTATCCTGTGAAAGACATTGTTTTAGTAAAAGTTTAACAGTTTTGCATGCAAATACGCAACAATACGGATGAGTATAATGGGGATATCACATCTAATGAAGCATGGTTCAAAGGGAAACTTCCTCGAGAAACAAGCTTCTTCTCTTCGCAAATAAGAACTGCCCTTAATTAAGCTGCCCTTTCTCTGAAGGAACTTCTTTCTTTGGAGAAAATTCCTACAAACATTTTTCTTTTTTTACCTGTGGGAGGGTTCTTGGCTGAATCATGTTTCGCTGTAACCGATGTTCCTGCTTGTTACGTGAAGAAATTTGCAACTAAGATGAAAACATTTCGCTTAAAGCTATGTCCTTTTTAATTTTTCCCACAAATAAGTGGTTTTAATTTAACCCCTTAATCTACAATGACGGGCATAGCTCGCGTACGATGGTCGGGCCAGAAGTGAATATTACGTGGAATATTTAATACGCAATTACAGTCTGATGCAATAATTGTGATAGACGCAAGTATTTCAAAATGTTTATTTATACAAAACTCCAAAATACAAAATTAGTAATCTGTAACGGTATGATATATTTTCAAAGCATTCTGGTACATGTAACGGAACTTTACACTTTTTACAATCGTATTCTATGTGGATTTTCTCGTACTTAATCTGCATACTGATTCGTTTCGGTTACAATATTGATCCAAAATATGTCATCAAATATTAGATTAAATATATAAAATTCTCCTCTACTTCCTCCTAATTGACACAAGGCTTCCTCTCTTATGCCAGGAGTCATCGTCTAGTCCCAGATTTTTGGACTATTTCTTATTTCTTTCCAAAGCCCTGGTAGTTGATCGTCATCAGATGTATCATTAATAATTATTCGCCTATACTTTCTTCGAAAATTACATAATTCGTCATGTTTACGATTGCCCGGATTAGCGTGTTACACAAGTCGTGCAAATGTCCCGAACGCTGCGAGAGCTTGTATATAGTTTCGGCCCAACATCTTCGAATCTAAATCGTAGGTTAAGGGGTTAAATCTACCAATCAGATACCCCGAGAGCGAAAGTTCGTTGAAATATTTCTTTCGACGTATTTTTGAGAAGGTAGGGGCTTAGGTATTAGATGTGTTATCGGATTTAGAGTACTTCTTCCCATCAAAGAGCAGCATCATAGGTACATGCACCTTAATCTATCTCATTTAGTGATTAGAATGATATTGTTTAGGCACGACCCAGTAGCGGCTTTAACCCTTTCCGGCAAGCTACCTTTTAAAGTCGGAGTTTTGATTTAAAAAAAAAAAAGGTAGGCAGTCTAATTAGGCCTAGAAGAGTACACAAGTAAAATTTTGTGAAGATAGCGCTTATCGTTTTAATTCTGCGGGTGTGCCCAAAGTGGCACGCTGATTGAATAGAGCTCCGAAAAGAGTGCTGAAACGAGTATTGTTGTCAATGAACTGACCGATGAGATGCGGAGAAACAAAGAATACAGACTCTCAGTTGTCCTAGGTTATCGGTGAGCCCGGTCTGGGCACATCTAGGGTCGTCATTTGATTTTAGGCAAGATTTCAAGGCAAAATTTGAAAACTAATATAGAATAAACAGATTAGCATACAACCAAAAAAATAACATAGAAATTTCTTTTCAAATAATTCCTTTTATACCCTAAAAATAATCTGGAAGATTTCTTTCAAAAATGAGGGTCTTAAAAAAACTAAACATGGCTAAAATATATGGACTGGTTTGTGTTGAACTGCCATCTACTATAAATAAAGAAGGTTCAGAGTAACCTATAGTAACCTATAAATCCATTTTCATTCAATTTTTCTGTGCGTACAGATGGAAATTTTTAGGTGTGTCCAGACGGACACACTGTGCCGCGAAGCGTTAAGAAGTGAGAACTGAATGAATTGAATGAGAAATATATCTCTAATGAAGTTCGATGAAATAAATTTAAATGAAATGCAGGAAAAAAGCGCATAATTTAATATTCCGTAAAAGAAGTCATTTGGTATACACATTTGGTATACAGATTTTTTCATTTATATAACATACACGTGTCAAAGCATTTGGGCTAATGTTCTGGGCTAAAAATATTTAGAAACAGCCTCTCTTTAGAATTTCCGATAGACAATCTCGCACGCTGGAGATAAGAATGATTTTTTTTCCGTACAGTGTTGCCACTGCTCGCTCTGAAATCTTCGAATTTGTTAACCAAAAATTCATTAAAAGTTTACAAAATATGAAATAGGTAATAAAATAAATGCGAAATTCAAGATTCGGGCGTCCAGATGCCCATGTTCGAGTGGAGGATTACGTTATTCAAAATTTGATGGCTCTAGGTACCGTCATTTTTCCACGATGGTACATACATTCATACAGATTATTTATTATTTAATTTGTTTAAGTATAACGTAAGGTGATAATATTTGGTGGCAACAATTTAAAAAGTGATTCTCCTTTTATAGTGTAACGCACCAAAATGACATTTTGAGACTAATAACCCTTTTGAACTACCGCCCCTTTGAGTTAATTATTAATATTCCTACGCTTTGCAATCCAAGAACCCGTCTAAACACTAATACCTTTTCCAATAACTTTTATTAAAATTATTATTGATTTTTCACGGATTGATTGAGTAACACGGATGATTTTTTTTAATACATAAAGACTCTGAATGAGTATATCTGGAAAATGTTTTAAATATATATGGCAGAGATAAAGATTTAAATCTGTCTTACCTCGGCATTAATCCAAGAATCCAGACCTGTGGTGTAATTAAAATATTCCTCCGTAGCACAGAAGATTTCATCCTCTAAATTGATATCTGTGATTTGGTTGAACGGCCACCATCTGACTTTATTGCCATTTTCGTCAATCTGCTGACCTGTTATGATATCATATATATTCAAAATGATTTAGGAACACATATATACAGTCAAAAGTCTTTAATCCGGACGTCCGTAATCCGGAATGATCTATAATCCGGACTTCAAAGATACAAACGTTCTGCGCATGCATAAACGCATATGCGCGTAATACCTTTACGCATGCGCCTAATACGTTTACGCATGCGCCTAATACGTTTACGCATGCGCGTTTAATGTATAACGGACGGTATAAGCTAAGCTAAAATTATCTAATTATCTATTCAGTTAATGTTGCAGATTGCGTTGTTCCTTAATCCTCCTAATTGGATCCGGCTTATTATTTTTTGCAGACTGTTAGAGAAATTTCATAAAAGTATGCTTGAACTTTCGATTATGTCAAAAAGAATTTCCGATTCAGGAGCTACCAAAGGATCTACAAAGCGAAAGCATGTTTCGATGTCCATCAAACAAAAAGTGGAATTGCTGCAAAAAATGGATAAAGGCATATCCTTTGTTTCTCTAACCATTCCGAAATCTGTTTATCAATTTCACGCTGCTCTGCGGGGGGGGGGGAAACGTCCCGGCCCGCAATGAAGTGGAAATTGATCTGTCAGCACTATCCTTATCTTCAGGGCAGATGTTTTTATTTTATTCGGCTTATAATTCCTTACTAAATGTAGTATTTCATCTCGATGTACTCCGTCTTTGATATGATTTAAATCAAATTCCTCGTCATTATAAATATCACGAATACACATCAAATAGTTTTCTGGTTGCAATTTTCTAATTTCGACTATGCGTAATGTATGCTTTACGCATGCGCGCGTTGAAAGAAATGTTTAATAAAGTAAACAAATAAATATTAAGCTTTTTTTTTTTTTTTTTTTTTTTTTTTTTTTTTTGTAAATTTTGATACCCTTTAGATCATAATTGCTCTTTATTTCATAAATTACGGTTTCATATTTTTAATTTTATAATTTCTGCATGCCATCTTACCAGATTTAAATTGATGATCTATAATCCGAAAAAACCGATAATCCAGAATCGCCGGAATCCCGACGAGTCCGGATTAAAGACTTTTGACTGCATATATCTTCATATTACTTCGCAAACAATCTTAAATACAGCGTTCTTGTATAAAATCGCAATTACAATTTCATTATATGTGCTTCCCAACTTCGAAAGTTGTAAAACAAAAAAGTCATTTCTGAAACGCTATTAAAAGTTAAATTTAACAAAATCTATTCAATATTCAGATTATTTCTTAATTGATTTGAGAATTGTCACATTAGTGTTTCAGACCAGGGATATTCAAAAGTTGCTCTTAGACTATTTGAACACATAAAATAGCTTCAATAAATGTTGCAAAAGGTCCGTATCAAATGCCTTTACCTATAAAATAATTTGAACTTAGATTAACGAGTTTCAAAAAGAATGTAATGCTCTATGGCAAAACATAACACAACATATGCGTCTCCCTATCTTTGAATGGTGACATAGCAATTTTGAAAAAAAGGTATAATACAGATTTCTAATTAGTCCTTAAAGTGTTCAAAAGAATAACATTCATTGAAAGTGCTAGTTAACCTAGCTACTTTTAATTACCAAAAATCCAGATTAATGGTTAAACAAATCGATTAATATGCTTAGGTTATCAGGTTCAATGTTCCGTCTTACTTTCTTTGGGAACATTCAAGGACCTGACTCGGAACAGAGAGCTTACTAAAGCTATGTTCAATAACTGTGGGAAGTAGACAGGATACACAGAAGGGTATACAAAAACCCTTTATTTTTTCTCTTTACAATATTTTCCGTACTTCGGAATACAAAGACCACTACTGTGGTCAAACGTAAGAATATAAAAAATATAAACTAAACTCTAACTAACTTTGAATAATAAACGTGGAAGATTTGCCTTATATTAACAGGAAGCCGTTGTAGTACAGAGAACTGTTAACACTACATACGTTTAAAATTATCAAGAGGATTAAACCTCTGGCCTGGAAGGCAACCAGCAACTGAGTAAAACTCTAAGGTAAGCGGCCTGCTTCGACTAACTGCTTCCTCTCTCTCGCTTGGCAAAAAGCCACAACTTAAATACTTGGCGTTCGCTAGCAAATTTTGCATAAATAAGTTAACGCTTTTAATTCTGGCCGGAAGTAGAAAATAAGAAGTGATAGTAAAGATTTAAAATAAAATAAACGTTAGTAAAACTTAAGATCCTTACAAGGTTAGATTAATTAGTTTTGATGATGCAAATAAATCCTATTTGTCTATCATGTGTTTGCCTTCTTGGAGGGCATTCTTATGAAAATTGGCTTTTGTTTACGGTACACCTAGGAACAACCTGGAAAACAATATTCAGCTAACTATATGCCATTATTAAGTCCATTTTCAAGTATGTAACAGTCCTGTTAATATGTGTTCCATCTATTTGCATCGGTTATGACTTCGCACCGAATCTGGAAACCTGTTTTTCCTTGCCACTTTCTGGCAACCCTAAACTCTCTTTGCGGGAGAGCTATGTTACCGCAGCTGGGCATTTCGAAACAATATGCTACATCAGTAACTTGTAGTTATATACTGTTACTTTTTTTTTGACACTAGTTCTTACGTTATTTTCTTCTTTCACGTTCGTACGGGGTTCGTAGATTTGGAGCGAATAACGACGACGCTTGACGGAATATCGAAACACACTTCATTGGCCGGTATTAATCAGGAGAGCTCCAAAGTCACTTTTTACAGTTATCGAAGATCTACTATACACACGCTGACACAATCAGCGGCACAGCCTTCCCACTGTCAGGCAATAACGGTGGAGACAGCTTCACTGCAAAGCACCAGAGTACAGCTCCCGACTCTGCTCGGTCGTTCTCGGAACTCCGCGTACTGTCGAGACTCTCTACGCTACAACTCGCGATGCACTCGACAACACACAGAGCACAGCTCCCAACTCTTCGGTTCAGTCGTTTCCGGAGCTCAACACGCTCTCTCGACGATGCACTAACCGCGATACTCTAAGAGACTCCTTCAGTGCACTCGACGACTCACTCGGCACTCGCTGCCCGGCTGTCAACTCGATCGACTCCGCACGGACTAACTCGAGACATACTACCTCGCACTCTAGAAGAGGCATTCTCTAACTGACTGCAGACTAAGAGGATTTATATAACTTTCGGCTTCTGTTTCAGAACATTCTGGGCTAAACCGGTAAGAATTCGTTCCAGAAGGTTCATGGCATATCGTCAATTTTGTCGCCAAATGGGCGTTTTTTCGACAAATGGGGCAACCCTTGCCTTCCCTTGCAATTTTACAGTAACCCTAAACCTGCTTTGCGGGGAAGCCATCTCACCGCGCCTGGACATTTCGTAACAATATTTTCTGTTTAAACGTGGAGCAGGTTGTGATTATCTAACTAAATAAAGAACTATTTGTTCCTTCAAACTTCCGCCAGGATGTTTGAAGGAACACATAGTATTGCCATAGGAGCATTCCTACACAAAACAGGAATTAGTTCCTATTGCTTTACGGTATACTTTTTACTATATATTAAAAATGTAATACAGTATATTTTCTGCATTTTCTTTTCTGACGCTTGAGGCCACATAATATGTTTTACTGTTTGTAGAAATTTGAATATAAGTAATTACTTTACCTTTTCTATCAAATGAACGTACAATTTCGCGGCCTATAAGATAACCAAGTGCTCCAAAGTTGAGATAGCTGAAATAAATGTTCAAATTCTTACAACATTTTACAAATATTACAAACGTAATAATAGAAATTCAAATAAAGCATTTTAGTTGAAATCAGGTTTAAAGAAGTGTATAAGATATATTATAAACTTACGACGGTTGATCTTTTTTGAAGAAGCCGTTTAAGAAAACTCCTACAGGAAATTCTGTTAAAAAGAATACTGTTAATGCGGAATATACTGATTCCCGAATTAATTCAAAATCAGTTAAGAACTAAATAAAACTAAATCCCGAATTACCTCAAATTCATCTTAATATGGTAAAATATTGATGCACGTATGTTAATTGAAAAGTTTTCAGACTGATTTTCTCATTCAATATCAGGTGATCCTTCGAGCCCTGTATTTTGTCCATAAGCAAATCTAAGTTTCGTTACTTTGGTTTACCCCTTCCACTTCCCCACTTCGTTTTATTAAGTGTTTCAACAACATTGATTAGGTTGTTCCGTAAGGCTGCGTTCATACGGCGGCGTAAAGGGCATAGAGGTGTAGTCATAAGGGCATAAAATGCGGGAATTCCGTTCACACTTGCAAGAACGGGGTGTAAGCCGTGGCCAATGAGAGAAGCTAAATTTGCGCATTCGTGGATGTGTTTACAGCTTTCCCGCACTGTTCTCCTGCTCGACTGATTTTCCGCGTTCGCTCTGCTTCTTTTGTGACAGCGAAATCTTCCGTAGAACGCCGCTTCGTTTTAGCTTCGCTCTGATTGGTCGACGCTTATCCCAAACTCGGCGTAAAGTTGAAAACTTTGAACCCTATGCCACGAGCCCTAAACCAGATTTTGTGACATAGCACAGACTGGTTGCCTTGGCAACGGAGCTCGGCTTTAACCGCTTATCCCTTTACGCTCCCGTCTGAATGAAGCTTAACACCCTCTTTTGCGCTTCACGTAAGGTGTTTTCAATTCTTTATCCTACGAGAAGCTTTTCTGCGTCTTGTCAATATTTTAAACGGTTCAAAATTACATGTCATCGAGCCTAGGCTATATGGAAGGTGTTCCAGTATTGACAGATCTATTTCTGGAATACGCGCCCAGCGTGCAGACCACCACACCACGAAGGCACGCGAAGATGGTGGGAGAAATACCTTATATACTCCCCTTTTTAAAGGGCGACTGGGGTTTTTAAGGGACCCATTCGCCAAATCCTTGGTGTGGAGAGTTAATCATCCACCACCCTTAAGTGATTATATCGCAGGAATTAGTTGCATCTATTTTGCAGAAAATGGTATCAACAGATTAAATTGACATTTTCTAATAAAATATTTTAGATAATGGAATGTTGAGGAATTAAAATCCTCAGTTTTAAAGAATAAAAGCACCATAGAATCTTTACTGATGTGAAAGGATTAATTTTGTGCGTGTTCTAAATATCCGTTCTAGTACTTAATAGAAGCTGGATTAACCTTGCAGCGATTAAAATAGCAGGTACTGAAACTAAAACCTGGTGACGTTTCAAAATCAAAACTTACGAGGATTAGTGATTGATGTATAATAATCAAATGAAAAATAAATAAAAGGGAGTAAAATGAATTTACCAATACTATTCTCCAGATAGTTGTAATATGGCTTTACACTTGGTGCTTTGTCATATTTTTCCCAGCTGCAAATAAATACGTATTCATATGAATCAAAATGTTTCTATTTTTAACGACAGTGTTATTAGTTATTGCACTAGCTAAGGTTTTGTAAAATATTGAATGCAGAGTGCTGCCTATGTTACGTGGATTAATTCGTACAGGGTGATCCAACCGTTGGACAAATTAAATTTTCAAAACCTCTGAAAATTCCTCAACCAATATTAATGACAATTTATTTTAATGGATGAAACCTCTATATTATTACAATTAATAGATCCCTTGAAATTTCAGTTTGCTGTGTATTCTTGTTAGTTTAAACCGCAACTGAAATTTGACATATATTTATAAATTTGTTCAAACATTTAAAAGATTAAGGCCTACGATAATACATTGGCTTTTATGTCTGAAATGTACTTTTCCCTTAATGTAACATAATTTTTAATCTAGGGTTTTGATAATCAAAAATTTCTCTTTCATTTATATCGATCTTTTAGCCGTGAACTGCAAATTTTGTTCGCATATCTGCTATTTGATATTTCTCAAAATCTTCAACTAGTCCAGGCTTTTATTGTAATTTCTTATTGCAATATGATTTGTGAAGATAGCCCTTCATGACTGTATAAAACCTTCAGATTCCTGAATCAAAATACATAAAATGTGACTCAGAAACTGTACATCTGAGTATACTATACATATCTTAAGATTCATAATTTTCCAAAAATATGTGAAAGAAGAAATATGACATCTCACCCGGTTTGCGGGTAAGAAGCATTTTGTCGAAACATGAAAATTGGTACATGGAATATGAGTTTACATTTGCACAAGAAAATGGTGGAAATGACCATCGCGCATAGCAAATGAGGTCTAAGCTCGTAGTGAAGGCTGAAAATGACAGCCGCAAAGTAATCATATCAAGGAAACGGATAAATAGAAGTGTCTTCCTTTAGCAAATGCGTTGAATAAACTAGACTGCGTCACAGGAAGACCGTGGCTTGCAGTCTGGGTGCTTCATACCCAAACAGTCATGGACAGGAGAGCCGAAATGTTTATATATTCCGCCATGCTGACCCTTAAGTGACATAAACTTGAAGATATGATATAAAGGAAATAGTATAATAAGGGTACTACATGAAGGAAATAGGTATCAATATCAGTATCAACAGTAGGCGCAGCCCGAGCCACCTGGTGTCCGCCGATAACATCACCGCAAAAACATCGCGGACGAAAACGTCGCGGAGAAAACAACGCAAGGCGAAAACGTCGTGTTACAAAACATCGTGGGAGAAAACACCGCAAAGAGAAAACATCGCAGTTTTAAAACATCGTGGTACAAAACATCGTCGTCGAAAATAAAGCGGTTCAAAAACTTCGCAGTTTTAAAACATCGTCGTCGAAAATATCGTGGTAAAAAATAAAGTATCTACAAATTATCGCATGACGATAACATCGCAGACATGCTTTTTTTTCCAGGTTTTTAATAATTGTAAATGAATATTCACGTAATGATTTGTGAGCGCAAGGTGTAAAGAAGGATAATTTTTACTTTCAGATTTTTTTATTAACTAATAAATTTTTGCTGAAAAAGTAAAAAGGAAACTTAAGCATAGAAAATTAAATGCAACTTATAGATTATACTTTTCAAGAAAAATTTCCAGTAAAACTTTATAAAAAAATTATTTATTAATGGCCTTTGTTCGTTAACTATGTCGGTTTAAAATTCTATTCAGTGCTATAAGTTGCATTAATTTTCTATGCTTAAGTTTCCTTTTTATTTTCTCAGCAAAAATTTATTAATTAATAAACAATATGAAAGTAAAAATTATTCTTCTTTCCATCTTGCGCTCACAAATCATTATGGGAATATCCATTTACAGTTATTAAAGCATGTCTGAAAAAAGCATGTCTGCGATGTTGTCGTCATGCGATGATTTGTAGATACTTTATTTTTTACCACGATATTTTCGACGACGATGTTTTTAAACTGCGAAGTTTTTGAACCGCTTTATTTTCGACGACGTTGTTTTGTACCACGATGTTTTAGAGCTGCGATGTTTTCTCCCACGATGTTTTGTAGCACGACGTTTTTGCCTTGCGTTGTTTTCTCCGCGACGTTTTCGTCTGCGATGTTTTTGCCGCGATGTTTTCGGCTGTAACCGAGCCACCTAACCAAACAGGTTGGTCTCATGGTCATAACATGCCACGCCCAATTTAAAAAAGGATTGGATTGGATTATTTAATTATGGCAAAGCACACGAGGGCTATCTGCCTAAAGGTAGGGATGCCTTCGTGGAGGACTTTCTAAGGGAAACTGGCTCGTATACACGTTACACATGAGGAAAACCACGAAAATGCCCATGCAGCCAGCCTGTTCGCGGGATTCGAACCTCAGACCGAATTACCAGTGTTCAGCGTCTTTACCGCTCGGCCGCTGGTGGGCTTAACAAAGGAAAATAACTGAAACATAAAATAACTAAATGGAAACAATCAAGTGATAATAATAAGTAAAAACATAAAAGTGAAGAGAAAGGACAAATACAAACATTTAGACAAAAGCAGACACCAAAGATTTAAAAAAAAAAAAAAAAAAAAAAAAAAAGTGAAGAACAAACTCAAACAATGATTACAAAAAGTTCGTAAACTAGACCAAATAGTGATGGCAATAAAAAGCAAAAATCACCCACTGATTCCCACTGCCCGGAGCTCACCGTTAATAATTTTCATAACAGATTTACATAATTGTGCGAAATCTTTATAGCATAAAAAGGGATTTTCAAAATCAATTTTTTCTGTTTCTTAAGCTATTAAAGTAGGGACAGACTCGAGGAAGTGTTTAGTATCACCAAACAAACCACATAGTTTACATTTATCGTTTCCCTGTGTCTTAGACCTACCGAAGTGTACCGGGAAACGCCCATGTCCGATCAGAAACAGGTTAATGTCAAAATAATTGAAGATAATATTCTTTTTCTTAGTCAAGTCTAAGTGCTTCAAATAACAACTTCTTCTTTCAGAAGCATTCTACTATAACTGCTGTTATGTCGCGAATTTTAATTATTAATATGTGTTTTAAGTTATTATTATTATAATATTCTTATTCGTATTCATGTGCATTTTAATATGGGAAAAAAGTATTCTTAAGCTCTTAAGGTTTTATTTAACTCAATATTCTTGAGTAGGAATTGTAACAAAGGCGAGAGACGGTTGTGATGACACATTGGTGTGGCCTTGGAAGTTGAACGATGGAATGGATGGAATGGCGAGAAACGGCTCCTTTTGGTAGTCGGGAAACCCCTTCCCGTGAAGATCCAGAGTGTGGGTTGCCTTTTTTTTTTTTTTTTTTTTTTTTTTTTTTTTTTTTGGCTTCCTGCTAGTCACCATCTACGCCAAGTTTTCAAAAAACGCGGCAGCTACTAAAACGGCTGCGCCAAAGAATCTCTAAGGTGCGCAGTGTTTTTCCAGAGACACATTCAGAGGTTAGCGTCGCTGCGCGACTCACGCATCCTGATTTGCTCTGTAAGTATTTTTGCTTTCTCTCCTCATGGCGGCCAAAAAACCACCAGATCGTTTTTGGAATAGGCATGAAAGCGACAGCGACATGGATCACGACTCAGATTATTCCAACTCATCTAAGAATAGCGGAAAATTAAAATTTAAAGATTTTCTAAAGCTCTCCAGTTTAGAAACTAAATTGCAGCAGCCTAAAAGAATAAAGAAAAGTAGCTCCCCCAGCACTGCGACACCATGGAAAAGTATAAACATATTTTCCCTAACTTATTTCAAGGACTCGGAACTGAATTAGATAAAGATCCCAGATATCAAATACTCAGAAACGGAGCCCTATCTGAAATCTTAAATAAATCCCAAGAGCGTATGATTGAACAATCGAACTTAATGGACACCGGATCGATGGACGAGAAAGATTACGCAGAAAATGTGAAAGAACACGAAGAATTAGTGAACTCCATCAAAGAAGCTTTATAACAATTTAACAGTTCCAGAAGCAGATAATAATAATTCAGTACAAAAAATTGGTCAATTCCCTCAAAAAAACATGCAAACCTAATCTAAAACCTAGCGAAAAAAAGAAGAAATAGAACAAAAAACAACAGATTCGAACCTTTAAATGATGAAAAAAAAAATAATGAAACTACTGAAGTTTAAAACTAATCATAAATCTGAAATAAAAAAAATCCCACCAATAGTCATCACGCAAGTTGAATTAGATTGGATTGATCTACAGAAAATTTTAAGTACTAAAATCCTAAAAAAATGAACATGAAAACCCAGATGTGAAAGCCAAAATGTTTATTTAAATACTTCCACCGAAGAGGATTACAACACCGCCATCGAATTTCTAAAGAAATCAAGCATAGAATTCCATACGTATCAACTTTATTCCAAAACTAACATTAAAGTCATTCTAAAAAATATGCCCAGAAGCATCTCAGAAACTGCAATATTTGAAGACCTAAAACTTCGAAAATTCCCAGTACTAAAAGTTAAACAGTTCACAAAGAGAATAGAAAGCGATATCATAAATTTACCCATATACTTCATTGAACTTGAAAGGAATAAATTTGGAGAAGCGATTTACAACTTAAATAATATGTTTAACTTTAATATCACTATTGAGAAATATGCACCTAAAACTTAAAGACCAATTCAATACTTCAAGTGTCAGAGCTATGGACATTCACAGGCGAATTGCTATAAAAAAGAAATATGTTGTAAATGTTCCCAGAATCACAGATCTAATACCTGCTCTTTAAAACGTGAAGAAAAACCCATCTGCTATTTTTGCCGTGGGGAGCATGTATCGTCCTACCGTGGTTGCCCGATTTATAAAAAGCGTTTTCAAACTTCTAAACCAGCAGAGAAAAAGAGAAAACCCAAGAGATTCCAAATCTTAAAGATTTCCCAGCACTCGCATCTAAATCTGAAAACTGAAATTAAAGAAATTCAAAGAAACAATCCCATTCAGCGCCGTCTTTAAACAGCAGAAGATCCCAGCAGATAATGATAATCCAATATCCCAAGTTTTTTCAAATCCTAAAGTTTTCAAATTCATTCAAGGTATGAACGATGTTGCAGTTCATATTAAATCCGCTAAATCCAGTACAGAAAAACTTTCTATCGCTTTCTTAGCAGTGAAGATTGCTCTTGATTTCGCAGAAGAGGAAAACTAAGTTCAAAATTTTACTTCTTGTTACTTCCTGATGTTCCAATAGATGGCGACACCCATGCTACGATGTTTTCACCAGAAACTTTCCACTTTAAATAAAGTGGATTTACTTCTCACTAAGACGTACCCCGCAGGGTAAATAATTTCTGAGTAAAAGTCCCCAGGACTATATACTCATAGATACCTCAATTCAATTCAATTCAATTCAATTTTCCAGAGACTTCAGGAGACAGGGAGAGACGGAGACGACAGAAGAGAGACGGAGAGGAGGAATGGATCGACGCTGACATTTTTTCCTGAGGCTTGAGGCAGCTGCAGCGACTACAAGAGACCTTCTTCCATCTTCTGCCTGGCAGACCCCGAAAGTTCGGGAAATATACATCATACTCGATATGCTAAGCCGTGAAGGGAAACTGAAGTGACTACAGATGATAACCTCAACGAACCTTCTTGACGGAATTTGCTGTTTGTTTTGAGCGGCAGAACGGAGCCAAAACCGCGACGATGTTGATATCATATCTTGTTTACTTTCAGTTACGCTAACTTCTATCTTTTCCTTCCCATAGTTATGCCGAAATGCCTGTAAAGATATCCCCGAGTCATATTACCTTCTAAGTCTCAAGATTTTTGTGTGTGAAATTCCCCCTTTATGGTGTTGGGGCCCCCACTAACCCTTGTTTGTTTAAAGGTATGTTTTATTTAGTGTTCTTCAGATATGTCCAATATCCAACCACCACGTTTTAGTTGTAACACAATAGTTAATGTCATGACTCTCATTTTCTGTTTTGTAATCATAATATTTTCCTACCTTAAATAAACGTAAAATGATTTTATTATCCTGTTTTGTATTTATTGTAATTATCCTTTTACACTGGACCTTAAACATAGAATGGGTTTTTGTTACACACAACGCTACTTCACAACGCAAATTTAGAATTTGTTTACATATTTTGTTTTTATGTTTCACTATGACTGCCCACAGTACTTAGTATGTTATTGTTAAACTATTGATTGATATGATCAGTTAAGTGACTTATACACACAGTTACCTACCGCATAACACAGAATGAACTTTTTCTCTAGTTGTTTCACAAATATGGTATTCATTTGTAATTATTAAGTATGAATTTATGTTGTTTATATAACACTGCCATTGCTTAAAATAATAAGAATAAATAATTTGGTTGCTATTTTTTTAACCTTGAACAAAGAGCGTCCCCGAAACACTCCCCAAGGAAGCCTCTTCTGCGAGCACATCCGCTCTCTCATTACCGAATATTCAGATATGGGCTTTAACCCACCCAAACTTAATATTAAAGGATAAGGATAGTTTTTGGTAAAGATCTTTAATATCGATAATCAGACCTTTATTATTTTCTGCATTATAAAACGAATTTAAGCGATACATGCAATCTGTAAAAATATAAAAGTTAGAATTTCTTGCAAAATTACTTTTTAACTCTAAAAGGATTTTGCAAGAATCAAGTTCTTGCAAAATTACTACTTGCAAAATTACTTGAAGAAAATAGGTATATCACCGAGAAATATCAAGTTAACTACTCGTTAGCCATTAAGGCAACAGGAATATGGTTCAGTAATACGAAATTATAGACCAGCCAAACTGATGTCTCTTCGTGCGGATTGTAGAAGGTTCAGATTATTATCCCGCATGAATCCAGAGTTTCTTTTCAATAATATTAAAATTAATATTAATGAATGTTACATTTTTAGCTGTCAAATTTCAATAAATTCGCTTAAGTTTTAAAACTTTGTTATTACTGTCTACACTCACAAGATGAAGCGGCAATGAAAGTGCACTCAAACATCAATAGAAACTCGGTTGCTTATGGAAGTCGTGAATGCGATGGTAAAAGCTGGATAGGGTCCAGTAGGCAGTCAGTGTCTACTCTGTAACAACATTTCGAATCTCAGCTTTATAGATCCGAAGTGAATGCTAATCTAAGCTATTAATACATTCATTTACCAAGCTATTCTTGGTGGATCTGTTCCGCGTGACATACACTCTGCACAAAACAAATAGGACAGTTCTGTATCTTCCGTTCTACTGGGCCGATTGACGAAATTTATCTTGCAATTTTAATTTCTCAAAAGCGCGACTTAATATACGTTAGATACATTTTCTGAAATGGCATACCGATTTGTGCGTTTTCCGATTCTGCGACACAAATTATGCCTAAATATTAAATTTTGTGAAACTTGGTGAGAAATGTACCGGTAAGTTAAGAAATTTATCTTGGCGCACTTTTTTAAGTTTGCGCCATAAATAATTTGGAGAAAACTGAAAATTTTTTAATTTATGGTAACCTATTATCCTTTTTCTTTTCTTCATCGCACACCAGGGGAAAAAAAAAAAGGTGCATCGTTCATTCTTTCAAATAATTTTAACAAAGTTATAGGCCACATTTGATGTTCTTGTCCCTTATAACAAATATGTCAAATATGAAAACTCATTGCTATATAAATTCAAGTTTATCTTGGATAATTTTTAATAAAAAATCCTAATTTTTTGCAGGTGTGCTTAGGAATACATCCACTTTAAGGTGATGGTAATTTTTTTACATGTTTTTGAAAAATTTATAAAAATTGCTAAAAAATACAAATTTTAAAAAATAAATCAGAAAATATCTGCGAATTTTATTCGGACTGAACCTAAATTTCGAAATTCAAAAGAAGGAACCAAGTAAGTTTAATAAAAAAAGAGATATTAATAAATATATATCAAATTCAATTAACACCGAGGAGCTACAATTTTGAGGGCTAATTTTTTAAAAACTACTCGCGAAATTTTTACAAAACTTGGCACTTTGGCCTAATTGGAGTAGTAGAATTACAATATGGAAAACAGTAGGTATGTCACTTCAGAAAAAAAACGATTTTGGTCAGAACACCTATACTAGAATAATGTTATATATGGATCTAATATATATCCTAAGTCGCGCTTTCGAGACATGAAAAACGCCAAGTCAAATTTCGTCAACTGGCTCAGTAGAACGTGAAATATAGAACTGCCCCCCTTTTTTGTGTGTGTGTATGTGTGCAGCGTGTAGCAATATCATTGTGGTCAGTGTTATCACATATTTCCCCTAAGTCTAAGAACTGTGTATCTGATCGCTTTCTATAGCATATAGTATTTACCCATGAGGTATTCATCGTTCATCTTTACCTGAAGGAAAATCCCTTTTTCTTATATACAGGGGTTGGACAAAAATATGGAAACACCTTTAAAAAAACATGTTTCTTTGCTTAATATGGTGTAGCAAACCCGTTGGCATCCAAAACAGCTTGCAGTCTTCTCGGAATGGATAAATACAGTTCCTGTATGTTTGCCAAGGGAATATTATACCATTCTTCCTGCAAAACGGTGGCAAGTTCAGATAACGATGTTGGCGGTGGATAACGAGAACGCACTTTCCGTTCCAATGCAGACCACAAAGGTTCGATAATATTCAGGTCTGGTGACTGTGGTGGCCAGGGGAGATGGGACAACTCATCCTCGTGCTCAGAAAACTAGTCCTGAACAATGTGAGGTGTGTGAACAGGGGCTTTGTCGTCTTGGAAGACACCATCATCATCGGGGAACAAAGTTTGTACCATGGGATGGACTTGATCGACCAAAATGTTCACATAAGTCTTGGCAGTCATGTGCCCTGACACAGTTATCATGGGGCTAGCAGAGAACCATGATATGGCTGCCCAAACCATAACAGAACCCCCGCCATGTTTCATTCTTGGCAACAAGCAGTCCGTATTAATGCTTGAGATGGCATTCTCCAAACGTAAACTCGGTCAGAAGTGGGAAACAATGTGAAAGAAGACTCGTCAGACCATATTACTCGCTTCCACTGCTCTATAGTCCAGGCTTTATGACTTAAACACCACCTTTTCCTGTTACGGGCATTAGCATCACTGATGAGTGGCTTCTCAATTGCAGCACGGCCAGCAATTCCCTGTTTATGAAGCTCCCTTCTAATTGTTTTGGTACTCACAGGGTTCGGTAACACAACATTCATTTCAGCAGGAACTTTTGCAGCTGTGGTTTTCTTATTTTTCGTCACAACTGCCCTTAATGATCGTCTGTCACGATCACTCAAGACACACTTTCGTGCGCGCTGTCATTTAGCAGATGATGTTTTTCCGCTTTTCAAATATGCGGAATAAATCTTCGATACAGTACCTCTTTGAAACACTAAAACACCTCGGCTACCTTGCTTACGGAAGCACCTACCATACGTGCTCCAACAATTTGCCCACGTTCGAAGTCTGTTAACTCTGACACATAATGCAATGACAACCTCACATAACAGTACTCCGACAACAACTGAACTGTTTAGCACATTTACGAAGTTGTATAGGTGGCGTCAGTAGTTAAAAAAGTCAGCGCCACCTACATATGTCATTAAAATCAATCTTTCTTTTCAAACATGCATTTCACAAGGTGTTTCCATATTTTTGTCCATCCACTGTATATATGCTAAGATGAATGCTCCATGTTCCTCACTCACGTCTGTTGATTCTATGTGTCTATCCTGCCATAATTATATTCTGCGTTTTCAGCTAGAGCTTAATAATAAAATATTCGTAAACGGTGTAGTAGTCAAAATAATACATACTTCCCTTTTATGTTTGGTTTAAGAAGCTGCAGAAAGTGACGATCAGTTTTCCACAGGCGGGCTGACTTCACATCGAAGAAATACATAACACTGTCAATACTTAACTGTAAAAAGAATTTGATCATTGTCAGGAGAGTTCTTAGAAACAGCTTTATATTTTTAAGGTTAAATGCTCTGGTAGATCTAAACAACAAGTTGATAATACCAAAGAACTTACATTTGAGTACAGATCAGAGAGATAAGAATGATTCAAAAGCTGTATCGGATATTCAGTTCGTATTTCTATATCGCGAGCCTGCAAAGAAAAAAAAATGAACGTTTAGTATTTTAATTCTCTAGTTATTATTTAAATATTCTAGCAGATATCGATTTTCAATACTTAAAAGTATTTACAGCAAACTGCGGGTGTTTATGGAATATTAGCTAGTGAATAAATGAGCTGGAAACGATGGCGAAGCATCATTCCATTAAATACTTTCTCAAGACTAAGACTCATAAACTCAAATTACACTAGTGTTTAAAACTTCTATGATAATAAGCAAGGCCTAGTCTATGTATTTGAATTAAAAAGTAAAAAAGATGTGTAAGAACTTTACTTAAATGCTAAACGAAATTCATAAGACAAGGAAAATAATACAACAATTTTAAAATGTACAGGGTGCTTCAAAGGGTCTCTCATATCTCTTATTTGAATAACTCATGAATAGGCGGAATTAGCATCGTCAATTTTTGTGCACTTGGCACAGGAACCTAAAGGAAGTGCGGTTGTTTTTGCTCGAAATTTATTTGCTTTTAAAGTGAACGAAGTTCAATCTAAGATTGCGTTTTTTTAGTTAATACGTTTATCTTTGAAATCAGAAACACTCAGGATTTGATCTAGTGCCTTTAATGCCAAATTTAGTCCTCTATACTGATTTGTCGAGAACGAGATACATTCCTAACGCTTACATTGGAAGCAAGAGATCCAGAACACATGGTTTCAGTAAGATGGAGCCCTTTCATATTCCAGGCCCTCCAGCGGCTGAGCGGTAAAGTCGCTGAACACTGGTAGTTCGGTCCGAGGTTCAAATCCCGAGAACGGGCTGGCTGCATGGGTGTTTTCGTGGTTTTCCCCACGTGTAACGTGTATACGAGCCAGTTTCCCCTAGAAAGTCCTCCACGAAGGCATCCCTCCCCTTAGGCAGATAGCGCTAGTGTGCTTTGCCATAATTAAATACACACACCTTCTTATTCCTGTTGCGGAATAGGACTATTCGCCGCCGTTTGTCGACGTCGCCGATTCGCCCTCATGCCATATTTTTTAAATGATTTGGTTTATGTGATTACGGCAAAGCCTTGAGGGCTATCTGCCTAAGGGGATGTATGCCTTCGTGGAGAATTTTTAAGGGAAACTGGCTGGTATACACATTACGCACGAAAACGCCCGTGCAGCCAGACCGTTCGCGGGATTTTTCTTTAAATGCTTATAATATATTTTGCAATATCATATTAAATTTATTTGGTTTAATAATTTTGTTTACGTATTTTATAGTTGAGACATATTTTTCTTTACATGCCTATATTATATCTTGCCCTATTAATTAAGCTTATTTAGTTAAATAATTTTGTTTACCTATTGTGTACGTCTGACAGTCTCAAATTTTAAAAGGAAAAAGCTTTTCAAATAAGACACATCTTCCAGAATTCCTAAAATATTACCTAGAACTTAACGTTTTTTTCCTTAGTAAAGAGTTTATTTGGAAAGCTTTTGCCCATAACTATGAAATATAATTTTCTATGATCTAAGAGATGTGTAATTTCTTTACATCCCATATTTGTAAACAATTATATATATTATAAGCAATCTTTATTACATATTTCATTCCTACTTGACGGCAAAATGGCCCATTGCGAATGAACTGCCGTCGGACTTTCCTGTCGGCGGAATGGCGGCAGCTAAACGAATACGCGAAAAGTCCTAAACCCTGGTGATATCTGCGACGCTCTTAGGATTTACTGTAACAATCATGTCGTCGTAAGCTCGACTTAGATACAGAAGATCTGAAAATATTCGTACGTGATAAGGTTTGTTTCAGTAGTCCACCTGTACAGACATTAGGTTATTTAGAAGCAGAATATGTGAAAAAATGAGCAATACCCTCGCCGTGCCTCGAACCACGGAGCTCTTGAATACGCGTCGAGCTTGCTGACCATTACACCACGAAGGCATGATAAGGCGGAAGAAATACTTTGTACACCTCAAGTGGGCAATAGCGAATTTAATGTTCAATTCGGAAATATTTTGACAGTTCAATCTTTTAGTTTCCTTTTCTCTCGCGCGTAAATTCTGAGATTTTGAAATAAAAACCTTTTTCCATTCAAAATATATTCAATTTTTTTCATAATTATTAAAATATTTTGTTTTCTTATTGCATGATCCATACGATAATATTTCAGGCGATATATGGCAGCAACAGTTTGAAAAGTGAAACGGGTATTCAGATTAATTCGACGCAAAATCGCAAAACGAAAACAATAGTCCCTCAAGGACAAAGCCCCTTTGGACTAATAATAAAATACTTTGAAACACAAAACCTAACTTGTGTATTTTTGCGCTAATCTCATTAATGTGCGTTGTATATTGCTTTAAACATAATTTTATAAGGAATTGGTGATTTTCGAAAATGTATTTAATTAGTAACATGCAAAGCAGTTTTTTTAAAATATTTTCCGGAATGTGACTTGCTTTGAACTTCATTTGTTTATTCTAAATGCTTCTATACTCATTCTATATATACTGTACTCAAATCTTAAACTTCCGGGTGACAGCATTGCTTAGAATTGTTCTCAGTAAAAAGCATATATGTCACTAAATGTTTTCTTACATGCTGAAACATTTCCGATTCAAAATCAGTACTATTCGTAAGTGGCGAGCTTTAAAAAAATATTTAAAATATTTGTCACAGAATAGTTAATATTATATTTATCATTAAATTTTTAAAATAAACTCATATGTAATTCAGAAATCAAACAACAAAAATCAGCGTTATATTTACAAAATTTTCACAGGACTAGTTTCGATGGTTTTACCGAACCACCATCTTCAGCTGCAAAGCCGCAAATGAACAAGATAGGAAATAATGATACAAGCGTCTAGCCCCTCAGACGCTAGTTTCCTCCTGGTTCCTCCCTGAACATCTGCGCAGGTTACTGCGCATGTCGTCATTTTCCTGAAGGCGCCTGGTATTTACTGTTATTTACTCTGCTCTTTGACTGCTGTGGTAGCGTGTGATCGCTGATACAGTTCTCTTTTTTTATTTTGCTTCGATTATTATATCTTCTGCACAAAATCAAGAAAAACTGGGCCCACCTTCTGTTTCCTCAGAAGGTATTTTTTGATTCTAAATCGAATCAAAATCAGGAAGGAATAACCGTGTGCGATAATTCCAATTGTGGTATGTCTGATAATTCTGATTGTGTTGTGAGTGATATGGTTCATTGTGCAAATGATTTTAGTATAGCTGAGAGTGATTTTGTTTGCTGTGATGTGATTGCTTAAAACTTTCAACTATAGATACAATTTGAAACGCCATGCATATAAATTTCATTACAATAATACTACATTAATTGAGTCTCTGAAAACTAAGTTCTAATAGTATGGTTGATTGTGCAAATAATTTTAGTGTGGCTGAGAGTAATTTTGTATGCTCTGATTGCTTAAAAACGTACCAAAATAAATGCAGTTTGAAAAGTTTGAAACGCCATACCAACACATTACACTCTAATAATACACATTATTTAATTCTTTAAAAAGTGGTCGATCACCAAGCTACAAATGTGAGGACTGCTATCTGAAATTTAGTGACCTAAAAAATTGGAAATATCATCAAATTAAAATTCATACTTCTAACAGGTAATTATGTGTGTCCTGTATGTTATGCTAATTTTGAAAAGCGAGAAATAATATTTCATTTCAATAATGTTCATGATGTTGATTTGAATCATACTGAGCTGGAATTTAATTCATTTAATGATTTTTTGGCATGGAAGGCAGAAATTGAAAATAATACGAAGTCAAAATTTCTTATGGAGTAAGCATATTTAATATACATGGTGTAATGCCACTGTTCAGGAAATTTTATATCAGAAAGTAAAGGTTTGCGTTCACTTAAAAATCCTTGATAGCAATAAAATAAATGCATATTGCCCAGCTGAATTAAAAGTAACAGAACATACAGATGGCAAATGTGTAGTGTCATATCAGAAAAATATGGCCCACCAGCGGCCGAGCGGTAAAGTCGCTGAACACTGGTAGTTCGGTCTGAGGTTCGAATCCCGCGAACGGACTGGCTGCATGGGCGTTTACATGGTTTTCCCCATGCGTAACGTGTATACGAACCAGTTTCCCTTAAAAAGTCCTCCTTTAAAAGTCCTAAAAAGTTTCCCTTAGAAAGTGCGGTAAAATCCTAGTATACGGTGCAGCCTTGGCGCGACTTTGAAAATTATCGCCAACACCAAAAATGATCCAAAGAACGTCTATATATATATACTATACACACATACTATATATACTATATACATAGTATATACTATGTTTAACTGTATATTTTCTTTGAATGACCCGTTAACTACTCATCGTATATGTCCCGTTTTTACTGCTCATCATAAAGTCACCAAAAGTAGCCAAATCCCGTGTGCACCGGATACTAGGATTAAACCGAAAGTGCTCCACGAAGGCATCCCTCCCCTTAGGCAGATAGCCCTCAAGGCTTTGCCATAATCTCACACACACACACACATATCAGAAAATACATATTGGGCATCGGAATGATTTAGGTCACTTATTTTTAACAACAGATGAAATAAAAAATAAAAAATATTGCATCAAAGATAGCAGCAAAAAATTTCTCTGGATAATATTTTAGATGAAATTAGAAATTCTCTATGAGATGCTGGGCTTGAGAAGGTTCATTTACTTACAAAACAAGATTTACATAACATCAAAAAATCTTTCAATTTGTCTTCTAATTCTGTTAAACATGAAAATGATTAGGTTTGTGTAGATACGTGGGGTACCTGAAATGCAAAATTCTGAACATCCATGCATTTCATTTTATAAAACCCAGGGATCAACATAGCATGAGTGAATATTGTACACAATATTCATTTCTAAAAGGAAATGATTTTGTTTTGATAATGATGACAGAAGCACAAAGAGAGATACTGAAAAAAAATTTAGTTCTGACTTGTATATGTATTGATGGTACACATGGGGTGAATGCATACAGATTTGAACTCGTAACTTTACTTACAATA